TCTTCTTAGTGCTGATCGTCCAGGCAAGCCGCCCCACCTCGAGCTCTTGATGGCAAGCCAATCGCCGTTTTTTTAGATGCAGGCTCACAGCTGCCCCCCTCCCCCCCCAGCTGAGAACGTTTTTTCATGCGCGTCCTGTACCACACGTGATACCTGTCGCGGCGCATGCCTTCTATTGCTTCGTTGTGCTCCAATCCGTAGGTGATGCCACCCAACGTCTTCGGCTCGTAGTGCAGCGGCACCTTGCTCTTCACATGAAGTTTAGGTAGATTACGAGCTGGGACCTTGGTATACTGAGCCAGCTCGCTATCGTTGTAGTTACTCGGGTTCATGTTACCCAGAGGGCGCCACGTTTCGTTGAGGTCTTGGTCACCGCTTTGTTTGTTTGGCACATGCTCTCCCGTGTTTCGCATTGTGCATACTTTCGAGCAACACGTGGAATAACGAGCGTCCACCCAAAATCTCAGCCAGTAAACGAATCAGGCGCTCACCATCACGGTGCGACAGTGTTGCGTCACCAGCCGAACTCGGATTTCCTTCCAATGGATGTCTATTAACTGAAACGACAGAGACCGTTATAACATTTGCAGGATTTTTAACCCCTAACGAATCTACTTAGTTTACAATAGTCGACAAACTGCATATTTACCGGGTCGGAAGCTTTAGCATTGTCAGCAAACCTTACGGTAAGTAGAGGCGGCGAAAGTTAAAGCGACGCGATAAGTTATACCAATATATGTATCCATACCCGAATGTACAATTTAAAACGGTGAGATGCGCACCGAGCGATGCTAGAAGGTGGACACTCATGCTTGGATCCAGCCTGCTTAATCAGCCCAGCATACGGGGCTCCGCTCGGTCTGTTTGTTTCTTCCTCCGTTCAGACATATAACCGGGTTATCTGTCTAAACCGTGTCCAAAAACATAAGTTCTCCCATACTAATTAAAGTTATTAAATAATACTGCTGTATTTCGGCTAAGTACGCTCTTACTGATCCGAGCAAAGACCGGAGAGGCGAGAGTTTTACATCTCTTTACCCGGCTTAAAAATGACGACCTGATGAAGGCTAGGGAATTTTTGATTTGACACATCAAGCTTTGGGTCACGATATCTTAAATTTCACCGTAGTAATTTAGACCAATCAGCTGCCACTTTAACGCATTTCCGTTGCTAAATTCATTCTGACCATCTTACGGCTTTTATTTTCGGACGAACGAAGTATAATGTCAGGCACAATATGCTAAGAAAATACCGGCTGTACTTAGCTAAAACAAGCTATTTCTTCTAGTGAAGCGATCCACAGTGTTTATGTAAGAAGAACAGAGTCAATTTCTTACACGTATGTGAAGCTTGCCAAGGTTTCACAAGCAATCTTTTTTATTGTAGAGAACCACTTCTCATCTATTTTTTTTAAAAATACAAAAATAGATGACCAGAAGAGCAATTAATACAGCGACGGCGAACAGTATAGATTGCTGAATAATGTGAGCTAGTATCTCGTCATTCAGATTGGTCAAATGCTCTAGTGATATCAATCTAGCTTACAAACCGGCATGTCCGCAGGGGTCTGCGTGCAAAATTCGAACAAAACACCTTCTTGATGTTTTCAGGATTATTCCTGCAGAATCACGAAAAAAGAGACCATTTTCATCAATGATCCTTGTGCGGGTGCCATTACAGCTGTAATGGAGAATATCCACGTAGGAAATGCTAAATGGGGACTATTGACGAGGCCGGGAAGAAGGCAATTCGCCGCAACCTGCCTCAGTGCTACTTTTTTTTGCTCATTTGATAATTTTTATTCAGATCGGACGTTTCTTACAACCTAAGCTTGAAGAATTGGAAGCACGCGCACTCAGCAGTTTTTAGCTTACTAGTAAGTACCTACCACCAACAGACTCACTGCTTCAATGAAACACCGAGCGACGACCGACCACCAAGGCAAAGGCCGCTACAGATCGACAACATGACCAACAAGGTGCTCGTTGCATCAATGAAATTTTTGCTTTTAAGGAGAAAAAAACAAACAAACACGTCACAGTGGCTTCCAAAATATCAGTTGGAGCCTGATGCTCGTCGAAAGTCGGATCCGAAGTTGCTGAAGTAATTTGCAGGGTTTGCGAAGATTTAAATGGAAAGAATGCACCCGATGATGAGCCCCAACCTTCTAAATTTGCATCATTATTTTAAAATAAGTAGAAAAAGCGAAATAGATCCTCCAATTTTGACTTGCTGTCACAGTTTGCGGTCGGTCTTGCTAGTTTTTCACCTGGTACACATAGTGTTGAAGGGAACTTTAGCACATTGAAACGTACGCAGGGACGTCATCGTGCCAAACTGAGCAGCTACGCTTGTCAATACTTCGAGCTCGTGGCACTGGCGGAAGCAGTGAGCTCAAAAGAAGCAGCGGATAGTGCTACGAAGGCGCAACAAACCGTTGCATAGACTAGAAGGACAAAACAAAAGTATCCTCTATAAATATTGACGAACTAAGTCAAGTAAACCCGTTTCGTTCAAACGGGTATAATTTTTAAATACCCTTTTAAATTATAAAGTACACACATTGAGCCACAGGTTGAAAAAAACGGGTCGATCGCTCTGGATTATTATTGTTCTTGGCATCCTTTTTTATCCTAGACAAATCTTGCAAGTTTTATTTGAACGAAAACAGTGTTGGCCGAACGATGACAGGCTGCAACTCACAGAGATTTCGTTAGAAAAAAACATTTAGAATTCGTGGAGGTCTCCGTAGCACTCCTCCACATGGACAACGCCTTGGCGTCGAGGGGTTATCAGATGTGTGCCCAACCTAATACTGCAGTACAATTCGGTGCCAAATGCAACAAAGCACCAAGGCTGCTTGAAGCAGAACCTCAACTTCACTGTAAATGTCTATTAATACTGTAATAGACATTGTCTATTGCTCCCCATCAAGTTGACGCAGCCACCGTAACTATTAATATGACCGTATGTTCCCAGACCTCCGACTAAAAGCCAACCCTTTTCTGAGATTCACTCCAGAACCTGTATCGATATGATTAGTGCATAGCCCCTGCAATTATTTTTAATTTTGCTGCGATCATTTCAATACCAAGACGTGCTAGTCGCCCTGTTTGCGCACATACGTGATGATGCATGCATCAGAAGAGGTCCGGCTCCTCATTGGCGCATCCCTGCGTTTTCGCTGCCCTCGAAGCTCAACATCCTCATTTCTCAAAAGCCGCTGGGCAGCTCAAGTTGGCATTTACTATCAAAGCGTTATTTGAGGACATGACACCCTCCGCACCCGAGAAAAGCCTCAATCGCTGCTCGTCCTCGTTCCAGATGCGCTCGCTGCGTCCAGTGTCCGCCAAGATCATCTCGTATGGCCGCGAGAACCAATCACACCGTCGCCCCACTCTCTACGTACTTCGAGTGAGCCGCAGCGGCGCCCCAGACTGGTATGTGGCCAAGCGCTACTCGGAGTTCCGCGCTCTACACGAAGCGTTGCAGCGTCAATGCAACGGCAACGGCAGTAAGCAACACGCGAGTTGTAGCGCATGCGAAGAGCTCGAGAGTTTTTACAGTAGCGTGCGCTTCCCTGATCGTCACATCCTGCAGTCTGGTCTGGGCATCTCCAAGAAACGACTGGATGCCACGAGAATGGAAGAATTGGACAGCTATATGCGTTTCCTATTAGTCAATACACAGGGTCTCATAGGAGATGAAGAGGATGAAGACGAGTCGCCCGAATGGGACGACAACGAAGGCTCCAGGTGTCTCGCGCTGGAATTGATACGCGAGTTTCTCATGGTGAATGAGGACCACACAACGACAGAGTCGGAAGCCAAACCGCAACAGGATGGAGAGAACACTAAAGACAGAAGAGCAGCTGCGGGTGTGACGTCGGCTGCTGTCGTGCCCAGACGGCAGCTGCACCGGCTAACGAGGAGGAGCTCATCCGTCACCAGTTTCCACGTGCGGGAGCTGGATCTCGTGTCAGCCGAGAAGAAGAGCTCTCCCACGGGCGACTCAATGCGCAATCTCTTCTCTGAGGAGTGGTGGGACCCCTCCTTTGCGGACGTGTTCGAGGAATGTGCGGCACCTCCAGAGGACGCTTTCATCCACCGTCAGGTTGAGGATGCACCCGCTCGCACTCATCCGTTGCGTCTCATTGAGGGATTCCCTCGTCGCTAGATGGGAAAAGGATGATAAAGGGTGTGGCCCTCAAGCGCGACGGAGCCAGACAGGGACGGCCCTGAATTATTGTAGTTTTTTTTGCAATCCTACCGTTAAGAAATAACCCGCACATAGGTACATGTAATACAACACCTTAGCTACCCATTTCTCTGCGTCCCCCTTGTTAACGTTCTGTAGTCCGACAACAGGACTGTATCACTAGCAAGATCAGAATCCGCTGAGCGCATATCGTAAACGTCGCGTGTCGTCGGCAACAGTTACGCATTATGGCAAACGAAGCACCTCGGTATAATAACACCATTGCGGCAACGTGCGTGGGCAACCGGCCTGGGCACGCCAGACTATTCTTCCTGCCCCATCTCGAGGGAGCCATCGGCTAGCTCAGATTTAACCACGCTA